ATTCAAGTATACATACAGAGAGCACTAAAGCTTCCCTTAGTGATCTCGGTTGTGCTCTTGTTTCACAGTCCTCTCAATCCCTTTTATCTTCTTGTTCTGATGTGTTTTCACGTGTTTGGCTAAGTGATCACTTCTCATGAACCTTTTTCCACATTCAGAGCAGACAAAGCGTTTCTCGCCAGTGTGAGTCCTTAAGTGTCTTTGTAACTCATCAGACCTGGTAAAACTTTTGCCACAGAACAACCAGTTACAGATAAAAGGTCTTTCCCCGGAATGCCACCTTAAATGAGCCTTTAAGTGTGAGGTTTTGCCATAAACTTTCCCACAGCCAGGGATGTGGCAAATGTGTTGTTTTTTCTTTCCAGGCTCCTCGGGGCCGCTGGATGATTGACAGTTCGGACATCTGCACCTTCTGCATCTCCTGGCTGTGGCCAAGGGAGATTTGGTCTGCAGGAGAGCTGCAATTTGAGTCTGGTACTGTGCAAAGTCTGTGTGTCCAAGCACTATGCTTCTCTGAAGAGGAAAGTGGTGATGAGCATGAGCAATTGGGGATGGGTGAGGGACTGGGGTGGATTGCTGTATGCTCCACCAAGGGATGTCTTCTGCTGGATTAGGGGACAGTTGTCTTGGCTGCTGGTGGAGCAAGTTGGAGTGACTCGGAACGAAGCCGTGAATTGCAGAAGCATACGGAACAGTAGGTACATAGGCTGACTGGCAGTTCGAAGACTGGAAGGCCGTTATGGGAGACGGTAACATCTTAACCGGTGAAAATTCATAGGGGTAAGAGGGGTCAGCTGGGGGAGTCAAGGGCAGCTCATGAGTAACAAATGAAGTCTGAATGTGAGAAGAGAGCTGATTTTTTGGGCTGGTGAGTCCAATACTGTTGTGTGGCTGAATTCCACCTGGAGAGTGTGCAGAGATGTCATTAGTCCATGGATGGAAAATCCTGGATGGGGATGCAATGGTCGGATCGTAAGGGATCTGGAGGAAATCATGACCACCACCTGGCTGACCAATGCGACTACATGTAGCTGCCAGAAGTGCCAAAGGGGAATGTTTACCCACATCAGGGGAGGCGCTGGGTGTCCTGTCCTGTAAATGAACATATAAGAAATTAGTTTACCCCAAAAATAGTCACGTTTCATATCCTTAGGTACATATTCAGAATATTATTATCTTCTAAATTACACACTGGATTACTAGAGCAGAAGTAAGAAACTTGTTCTTTAAGACCCTCAATTAAAATAGCAGAAACTATAGGGGTCTATTCACAAAAGGGTGAAGAGTTTGGAGAAGGCAGGGGAAGGGCACAATCTAGGACAACATAGCTGAACTGGAAAGAGAGCTGAATTGGAGAATGTTTCCAAATCGGCTATTTTGTCCTATATTGTTCAGTTCTCCTGTCTTCTCAAAACCCTTCACCCTTTAGTGAATAGACTAAACTGTCCAATATAATATATTGAACATCATCTACAAACAGGAAGTTCTAAAATCTACATCACAGAACAGCATCACACCAATGCTTAAGAACCCAGGCTGAAAAGTTGAGCACTATAAAGGATGTGGTGTTCATTATATAGTCAGCACAGCAACACTGTGTTCAACTAAAGTTTACGGGAATTATCTTTATTTATCTTCATCTGGAGCGTTTTGACATGAAAATAGGTTCACTAAGCTTCTATACATAATAGATGCTTTAGTAAGATAAATTACATTGTTTTTAAACGGCCTTAAGTGTTTTGTCTAGAAGCATATTCTTAATTCCTGGCACAATAACAGATGCAAACGTTTACAAGGATGAGAAAGGTAAACTATAAACAACAGTCATTTTTAAATTGTCATTTGAAATCATCACTAAATGTGGTTGTGAGCAATTCATAGTATTACTGATGTTTTTTATGCAAATCTTTTTTTATATATGCAAGGAAAAGAGAGTATTAAAGATATATAAAATAAATATTTCTTGTCCATTTATGTATTGTATTCAAAACATCAAGTTATAAAGTAAAACAGTAAACCGTTTCTTATGTTATATCTTCTTATATTGCAGAAATAGTTTCCTAAACAAAAACTAAAAAATAAGGTCATCAAACTATGGCAGGTCTATGCATGATGCAGCCTAAGCATGCATTGAAGTATTGACATTTTCTTATATAAAATCAGCATTGCTTTAAGAGGTATCTGAATGCATTTATGGTACAACAAAATAACACATAAATGAAGAAACACGCATGTTTATAGTACAATAATTATATTCAGGATTATTTTTTTGGGAATGTTGTTTTCTAACTTCCCCACCACCTGGAATGCCTAGAGTGCATGCAGAAGTTGAAACCCAACCTGTGTCATTGCACCACATCACTCTCCAGCTAAGAGCACTTTTGCAGGTACAATACTACCTGCTCAAACATATTTCCACTTCACAACTGCTAACACTGCCTGTGACGGACTGCAGTAACTTTACATTCTTCTCCCTCTCTTGAAGATCCAGTAGTAATGATGATTTTCAGTGCACACCTTGAAGCTGCAACCTGTACATCCTGGAGCTGCAGTGCTACCTGCTCAGCAATACTTTATCTGCTCATCTAAAGGGACTACTGACATAGTGCACATGTTAAGATTACAAAACAAACGAATGCAATGTTTGGAAATATTCTGAAGTTGTTTCAAAATACTTACACTGCTTACTTACTAAATTCACCTCTGATTATTGTTGCACGTATAAGTAATTGTGATCTACGGCAAACACCCTGAAGTTACTAGACTACCTGTTACACTGTGAATTTACACCTTGTAATTCCTTGTGCACAGCCCGGAGCTACTATTCTACCTGTTACACTGTTCTTATATTGCTCCCAATATAGTACCTGTGACTATTGGTGCACATCCTGGAGGTACTCTTCTATCAGTACCTGTGACTATTGGTGCACATCCTGGAGGTACTCTGCTATCAGTACCTGTGACTATTGGTGCACCTCCTGGAGGTACTCTTCTATCAGTACCTGTGACTATTGGTGCACCTCCTGGAGGTACTCTTCTATCAGTACCTGTGACTATTGGTGCACATCCTGGAGGTACTCTTCTATCAGCACCTGTGACTATTGGTGCACATCCTGGAGGTACTCTTCTATCATTACCTGTAACTATTGGTGCACCTCCTGGGGGTACTCTTCTATCAGTACCTGTAACTATTGGTGCACCTCCTGGAGGTACTCTTATATCTGTACCTGTAACTATTGGTGCACCTCCTGGAGCTCTTCTTCTATCAGTACCTGTAACTATTGGTGCACCTCCTGGAAGTACCTTCCTATCAGTACCCGTGACTATTGGTGCACCTCCTGTATATACACTTCTATCAATACCTGTGACTATTGATGCACCGCCTGGAGATAGTCTTCTATCAGTACCAGTGACTATTGGTGCACCGCCTGGAGATACACTTCTATCAGTACCAGTGACTATTGGTGCACTTCCTGAAGGTACTCTTCTATCAGTACTTGGGACGATTGGTGCACCTCCTGAAGGTACCCTTCTATTAGTACCTGTGACTATTGGTGCACCTCCTGGAGGTACTCTTCTATCAGTACCTGTGACTATTGGTGCACCTCCTGAAGGTACCCTTCTATTAGTACCTGTGACTATTGGTGCACCTCCTGGAGGTACTTTTGTATCAGTGCTAGGGGCTACTGGTGCACCTCCTGGAGGTACTCTTCTGTCAGTGCCTGTGACTATTGGTGCACCTCCTGGAGGTACTCTTCTATCAGTACCTGTGACTATTGGTGCACCTCCTGCAGGTACTCTTCTATCAGTACCTGTGACTATTGGTGCACCTCCTGGAGATACTCTTCTATTAGTACCTCCGACTATTGGTGCCCATCCTGGGGATACTCTTCTACCTGATCCAAAGTAATTTTATTGCTGTCAAGCTCTGAATACCTGTGATCACATGTGCACCTGTTATACCTGCAGAACTACATTAGCTGTGATCATGTACATCTGGTGGAACCTTTGCTAGCAGTGATGCTCAGTGCAGATCCATCAATGGTGCTGCTCCCAATCACTAAAAATCGTCCCTTCCTCTGCTCCGCACCCAAGACTGCACATCATCCATTCCTCTGCTCTCCGTTATTGCACATCATCTCTTCCTCTGCCCCCAATCACTGCACATCGTCCTTTCCCCTGCTCTTCACCCCGGACTGCACATGCTTCCCTCTTCTGCACCCCGGACTGCTGTACACGGTCCCCTCCTCCGCTCCGCACCCCGGACTCTCTGTGATAAACTTGCAGTACACTTGCGATCCTCCAGCCTGAAGTTTGCGGAGAAGTTGCACTGACCTGTAGGAATGCGTGCAGAGAGTCGTTCCTCAGCACAGCCACTGCAGCCATAGTCCCGGTCCCGCAGCTGGGCACAGCCTGTGTAAGGGTGGGCAGACTCCGGAGTCATGGAGGAATCCCCCTCCTGTGTGCAGGTTGCGCCCCCTCCCAGCTCCCCTCCTTTCCAGCCGCCTCTTGACTGACGGCAGCGGGAGCACCTCCAAGAATGTGATAAGGACTTTGCTGGGCCGCCAGCCAGTCACAGGCCGGCTCTGTCCCTTTGAAGTTCCCAGCTGCCCAATCATCAAAGCACAGCAGCTCTTTCACAAGCGAAAGCAAATCCTTTGAATCTACAAAAGCTCCTACGGAGTGTTTGTTGGTGTGGATAAAAGAGCTGATTATTACAGGGGGTGGAAAGGGAGGTGATAAAGGCGGGACAATTAATGAAGTAATCACTATGTGGGAAATGTATATACACAAATAATTGGATTTTCCTGATCAAAGAGACCCTCAGCTCCTGGAGACCCTCACTGTGCCCGGTGCGGAGCATCAGATCCCCCTCCTCTGTGCTAGTTCTTTGTAATTAAGGATTTGTAGCAAAGGGGACAATCTCTCTTTGTTACTGCTCTGTGCACTTCCTTTTTATCTTCTTCACACTCCTTTGCCATGATAAAGTAAAATCAAGTTTGTGTTATGTATTAAGTGGGGGAATGCCCTGACCTGGCTGCTCCTGCAATTTATTCCAATAGCTTAAAAACAGTAGAAAAGAAGGCGAAGCGCTTTGGAGGCGCCGGGCGGCCATACACGGAACGGTTTGTGATCGATTTAGATATGAGCGATCGCAGACAAACGATTTATAATCAGTTAAAACATTGACGAAGGAACATATACAGTATCCATCGAAAATACGATTCATCGGTACATAGTGATTTGTGATCGATTTAGATATGAGCAATCGCAGGCAAACGATTTATAATCGGTTAAAATATCGAAAGATGCATCATATACTGTATGCATTGAAAATACGATTTATCGGTGCACATAGTGATTTGTGATCGACTTAGTTATGAACGGTCGCAGACAAGCGATTTATAATCAGTTAAAATATTGAAAGATGGAACATATTCTGTATCCATAGAAAATACCATGTAGTGATTTGTGATCGATTCAGGATACAAGCAATCGCAGACAAGCAATTTATCATGTTAAAAAATAAACAATATCGATAGGAAATACAATCAATCAGTACACGTAGCAATTTGTCAAGGGTTTACATGCGAGCAATCGCAGAAAAGCAATTTATCATCAGTTAAAAGTACAAATGTTCACATACCAAGTACATGTACAGATACTTTTCCAGGTAAAAACTGAAAAATTAGGAGGCAGCTGTCATTTTTATTGAGCATATGGATTAATGTATGATTTGTTATATATATCTATATATATATATCTATGTATATCTATATATATACAGGTGAAACTCGAATAATTTGAATATCGTAGATATATAAATATATATAATGTATGCAGTATATTAGGGATGCACCAATACCATTTTTCCAGACCAAGTACAAGTACCAATACCTGTCCTCACAGATACAACTACCGATACATTTTTCTTTATTGTCATGTGACAGTTTTTCTAAGTCATGTGACAGTTTTTCTAAAACAATACAGGCTACTGATTTCAGGACAGTGGTGGAGCGCCAGAGCCAGGTCCCAGCTGCAATCGCTGCAACCCTGGTAGTTCTTCTAAAAATGCCAAGTATCGGCACTGGTATCTGAACATCTGTAGGTAAAATATTGAAGAATGGAACATATATATCGTATCCATTAAAAATACGATATCTCCGTTCATTAAGGGATTTGTGATTGATTCAGGATGCGAGCAATCACAGACCAGCAATTTATCATGTTAAAAAAAGCAAATATCGATAGAAAATGGTAACCAAAATAGTTGCGCTAGGATATATGGCAAAAATAAAAATTAATTAAATTATAACTAAAAAACCCAACATACAAAGAAAATAACAATTTCGAATATGAATATAAAAATCAAATATAGCCAAGAGATCCAGCTGCAGCAATATCTATCAAAGCGATCAATTATAAACCGGTGTGCTGCGCTTGGTTTTGTGATGCGTGCTCTGTTTAATCCTTAAATTATGTGATGCTTGTGATACCACAAACTAAAAGCATGAGTTGCGCTAATATTGCGCAACATAAAAATTTGCAACTACCACCATTTTATTCTATAGGGTCTTGGCATTCAGAAAATATATAATGTTGGGGAGTTTTAAGTAATTTTCAGGCCTAAAATGTGGAATATAACATGGGTACAAAAAAATGAAAAAAAGGCCTCAGTCATGAAGGGGTTAATACATGTAGTGATCAATGTAGAAAAATGCGATCACAGACAAGCGATTCAACATTGATTAATATATCGAATGATGAAAAGCATAAAGTATCAGCTGAAAATACAATTTATCAGTATATCAGTACAATATATACACGTAGTGATTTGTATTCAATTTAAATACAAGTAATCTCAGACAAGCAATTCATCATCATTTAAAATATGGAATGATGGAACACATATGGTATTGATTGAAAATACAATCAGTACAAGTAGTGATTTGTGATCGATTTCAATATTAGCGATCGCAGACATGCGTTTTACCATCATGTAAAGTATCAAATGATAGAACACATCTG